CTATCCGTTTACTGAAACCATGTTTCAGTTCATACTTCAAGCACTGCATTGTAACCATGGGGCCAGACATTCGTATGCAATTTGGATAATGTATCATGTGGTGTTGCTTGTTGATCATTCTGCTCTCAGGGAAAAGCATCTTAAAGAGTGTATGATGCTCAGCAATCAAGTGCTTCAGGTAAACAGTTTGACTTAAAGGCGACCAAAGGGGCATATATGATATCCATGCATTGAAGGAGCAATAGCAACAGACTGTAGTGAATATTCCCTTGTGGAATTAGATCTCCAACAAGAAGTGGAAGCATTCGAACAAGACACCACATCTGTGCTGCTTTTTGCGCCAATTTATGGTCCTTGCTGTTTCGCAATCGATCCGATGCTAGAACAGTTGGTTTATTCTTCTTATCAGTTTTGGAATAGTGGAAAGATCTTATACGTTGGTTCAATTTTGACAATGTGAAGAACTGCTCAGAGAATGTAAAGTGGTTAAGCAAAAGCTTTACTTCATAGGGGCACACACCTTCAAGCATATCATGCATCACATCAAGATTATAATTTGTAACACAGTGGAAGTTCTGCAAATTGTTTAACGAGCATGAAGTGCGGACACCTGTCCCAGAATCTCCATTTCGGAGAAGGGCAGCAGCTTCAACAGAGTCATCATGGTCATCTATTTCACGCTGTTCAAAGTCATCTTCCTCAAAATAGATTTGGATCGTCTCTCGGGTTGCCTTGCATAACCTACATAGCAAATTAGCAGACGGACTCAAGAAACCCAGCAATTCATGTGCAGCCAAGGTATCTGTACTGTACGAGACCAAAGTACCATGAACCTCGCAAACACTACCATCCCAATGAAGTTTGACCCCACTGTCACTTTCCAGTTGTTTTATTTCCTTGATGAAGGGATCAAGGATTGGCTGGAAGCCATACTTCTTTATATCAGAAGTATAGCAAACAGCTAAAAGAAACACACTATTCATGGAAGTATTTACGTTAAAAGGCAGGTTTTGAATCGTGTAGTAGAAGAGACCTAATTTATGGATGCCTGTCTTGCTACCGAGGGGATTTGTAACTTCTACGTCATCGTAGAAAAGCTGAAGTCGCAATGCTTTAGGGTGGGTTTTAAAAATACCATGTTGTTGGTATTGCTGCCCATCCTGGAATCCTCTAAGATAACCGGGTGGCGAGGTCTTTTCTCTATCAATTAGGCCTTGGACTTCTGGTTTAAGAACAAGCTTAAGAACATCTAGTACTGGGATGTACTGAAATGTTTCTGTTACTACCTTCGGTACATATTCTCCAGTAATCCTATCTTCTACCTGATCTACCCGCGTGCCCAATGCTATCTCTTTTGGAAGAACCAACATAAGATTGTCAACCATGTAATTTATTTGTTGCCTTGGTGTTTCAATACCTAAGTATGGGTTTTCGAAAGATGAAAACTTTGCGCACAGACGTTGAACATCGTCTGACGTTGTATCAACCTCGTGCATTTGCATTACATGCAACATATTATGCTTAAGTGTTGTAAGGGTGTCTTGGAACATAACCTTTGTACCACGTATGACATGTTCAATTACAGTAAAAGGCACAGCAGCAGTAGATTTAAGCTTCATTATCATGGAGAGAGCAAGTTGTTTCAAGTTGTCTATGCTAAAAGTTTCAGCATAATTTTCTTCCTCTTCCTCCAGGTCATCATCATGGTCACTTACAGGATCAACATGCATTGCCATTGGTTCGTCTTGTGGTTGCTGACCAGCAGCCACGTGCTCGTGTAAATTGTTATTTGTGTGCTCGCGCCTAATGTGGAGAATTAAACTAAAGGGTTGAAACTTTGGCGGGTTATCGTTTGATGTGTTCCATAAGTAGGTTGTTCTCCGGCAATTTCACACGGGGCCCCAATGTGAGTTAGGATTGAAATAATATTGTATTTAATTATTTTTAAAAACGTACTTGAATCTCTTGATCATCTATTTCTTCTCTCGAAATTCTGTAAACCTTTTAAACGGCTCGGACTCATTATACTTGACGTCACGAGAACAACCTACTTATGGAACACATTGTGCGAAAAAACCCTTAGAGTGTTTCATGTAAAAACATACGAAAAATCAATTGTTTATTGAATCTACTACATCAGTTGTGAAGATATGTCCAAAAAGACAGAATCTGAAAAAAAAATATTCGAAAACACAAATAAATTGTGAATTTTAAGTCATTTAGAAATGTAATCTAGTCAAAGTTTCAACCCTTTAGTTTAATTCTCCCTTCTTTCGCCACCTTCGTCTTTTCGAGCCCGCGTTTTTATTTGTCAGCGATCATCTATACTTCGTGAAACGTCATGTAGAGTGATAGTATAATAACTCCAAGCAGTTCAAAATGTTTACAGAACTTCGAGACTCGAGAGAAGAAATAATCGATTATCAAGGGATTCAAGTAGGTTTTTAAAAATAAATACAACATTATTTCAATCATAACTCATAGTGGGGCCCCCTGTGCATGAGCTCCTCCTTTGAATTTACCATATGAGTGATAAATTCGAGGCACATTTTGAATTTATCATAATAATAAAATCGCGCCATCTAACCCCTAACACCAATACTAACCACTAACCCCTAATCCTAACCCTAATCTAACTTTTTAAACTTTTTTTGAAAATCTAACTTTTTAAACTTTTTTCTATTTAAAACTTTTTAAAACTTTTTTTTGGAAATCTTGAAAATCTACCCCCCCCCGCGAACAAAAAGTCTTGTCTAATGCTTGTGGTTTTATGATTAACTCTATTGATAAATTCAAAATGTGCCGCGAATTTATCATAATGATAAATTCGGACGTGTTTAAGAATTTACTCGTATAGTAAATTCAAAGGAGGAGCTCATGTTGGCAAGTATACGTCCTTTCGATAATTATGCCATTCGGCCTGGGAGCCTCGTTCTCATGAATCGTGAGCCAATCACCTTGCGTAATTTACTAATGGGGAGCGAGGCTCCAAGACCAAAAAGTATGTGTGAAGTAATCATCGAAAGGGTGTATTTGCACAACTCGTGCGCTAGTTCAAGGTTCGTGGGTGCGTTCGACTCAGCCAAAAAGTGTACTTACGAGAGGCATTCACCCCCCTGAACGTCTAGCCCGCGTGCATGCCCAAGGGAAGAATAGTGGGCCTGCAAGCAAGGCCCGGTATTTTGTACTTTCCGCGTTCGCCCACGAACGCGACATTCTGATTGGCTGTTTGCTGTTGGATTCTATAATTAGATCACTGAATCATCACAAAGGCTCTCGATAAGCTTAAAATTCGAAAATCGATCACTGTTTTCGATTAAAAATGGAACAAGAACGGACTGTTTATTGTTTACTTGAAGGAAGAGATGTTTTTGCCATTATGCCAATGGCGATTGCTTGTCGTGAAGTGTTGGAATAGCAACATTACGACTGGGGTAAACTATAGTATTAACCTTTACTTGAGTTTACATTAATTTCAAGCAGACTTAATTGATACGTTATATGTTCCTCAAGAAAACTATCTTTTGATTGATGTTGACTCTGTTCTTGCGCTGAAGAAAACAGCGCTTTTCGCGGTGAAGTTTTAGAGGCAGTTGCATGTAAGCCTATTCGAAACACCTTGCAATTTGCAAGGCTTCGCTGAGAGAGCGAAACAGAAGACGGTATTAATTGCCGTTTGAAACGAAACGATCTGGACTCTGAACGCTCTTTTCTTTTGTAGAGTTCTTTACCAAATGAAACATAACTGAAATAAATTTCGTACTTACACAAGTAATCGATAAGCCTACAAGGATTACGGAATCGTCTTCTACGTTACTAGACGTTTGTATTACCTCCTGTCCTGAGCGAATTGCATTTCATGATGTAATTCATATGGGAGTGAGTGATCATAGTTTAATTTATGTAGTAAGAAAAATTAATTCATATCTTAAACCTCACGCTAGCAAAAAAGTCGAATTTCGAAGCTTCAAGCATTTCAATGTTGAGAATTTCAAAGTCGACCTTATAAACTTACCGTGGTATTTAGTTGACAGAGAAACTGATATTGATAATAAATGGGCATGTTGGAAAAATCTTTTTATAACTGTTCTTGATAAACATGCCCCGGTTAGGGAAAGACGGGTACGAAATAAAACATCTGTGGCATGGATTTCTAGGAATATCAGAAAAAAAATGTTTGAAAGGGACCGTTTGAAAAGAAAAGCAATTTTGTCGGATTTAAGTGAAGATTGGAGCCAGTATAAACATTATAGGAATAATGTCAACATTGCAATGCGTGAAGCTAAGAAAGTTTACTACAAAAGCAAATTTGACAAACATCAAAACAATCCAAAACAGGCTTGGAGGACGATTAATGATATCCTTGGGAGAAATAAGAAGGACACAATGATTAACGAATTAAAGCTAGGAAATGATACAATTACTTCTCCTATGAGAATGGCTAATTGTCTTAATGACTATTTTACAAGTATTGGTGGTAAAATTGGAGACTCCTGCTCTGAACACACTCAGAATTTAAATTTTGGCAGGCATATGAGTGATAATCTAAATACTAGTTTGGAATTTACTTTGCATCCTGTTAACGAATCACAGGTTTTTAGGCTACTTAACAATTTGTCTATTTCTAAATCTACTGGATGTGACAAAATACCGGCTAAAATTCTAAAAAAATCTGCTTCTGTAATTACACCATCTTTGACCAATTTGTTTAACTCTGCTATTGGGATGGGAATTTTCCCCTGTGAATGGAAAATTGCTAGAGTTATACCGCTTCATAAGAAGGGTTCACGCTCCGTTTTAGACAATTATAGACCAATATCAATTTTGCCGGTCATCAGCAAAATATTTGAAAAGATCTTGTATGAGCAGTTATACGAATATTTTATCACCAATAATTTATTGTCTGAACAGCAGTTTGGGTTCAGGCGCTTTCATTCCACGTCCACTGCTTTGCTTGATTGTACTGATGAGTGGTATGTTAATATGGATCGTGGTTTGTATAATCTTGCCGTTTTTCTCGATTTAAAAAAAGCATTTGACACGGTAAACCACGACATTTTACTGGCTAAACTAGAGTTATATGGTATTAAGAACACGCCTCTTATGCTTCTCAAATCGTACTTATCAGATCGATCTCAGAAATGTCAAGTAAATGGAGAACTTTCCACACTAAAATATATAAAATATGGCGTTCCTCAGGGTTCAATTTTGGGTCCACTTCTGTTTTTAATTTATATCAATGATTTGCCGAATTGTTTACAGCACTCTACAGCACGCATGTTCGCCGACGATACTAACATTACAGTGTCCGGTAAATCAGTTAAGGAAGCGGAGGTGGCCGTTAATGTCGATCTCAATAATATCAGAGAATGGCTTCTATCGAACAGGCTCTCTCTTAACCTTGTCAAAACGGAATATCTTTTGATTGGATCACGCCACAATATTAACACGTTAGAAGAACAACCGCGTGTTTTTATTGGAGATGAACCAATTAAAGGGGTTCAAGTTACAAAAACTGTTGGAGTCAAAATTGATCAATTTTTATCTTGGGACAGTCATATTGACCAAATTTCTAAAAAAATATCTTCTGGAATAAGTGCCATGAAAAAGATAAAGGATTTCACTAATTCTGATACTTTGAAGTCGGTCTATTATGGTCTTGTCCAACCCCATTTCGACTACTGTTGTGAAGTTTGGAATTCCATTAATAGAGGCCAGTCTGAACGATTACAAAAACTTCACAACAGATGTGCTAGAATTATAATGAACTTTAAAGATGAGCCTGGGCAATCTCAACTGGCCCTCGATCAATTAGGGTGGATAAGCTTGGAAGAAAGGCGAAAACATAATATGGCCCGTCTCATGTTTAAGGTTGTCAATAATCTGGCACCATCGAGGTTCTCATCAATGTTCCAGAATTCTAACCATATCCACAGTTATAATTTACGAGGTTCAAATTCGTCTCTCTTTCTGCCACGACCAAATACCGAGTATGGCAGAAAATGTTTTCGATATAGTGGGGTTAAAATCTGGAATAGCATTCCTGAACAAGTAAGAAACAGCGAATCTTTAAATTCTTTCAATAGAAATATTTCCTCTGTTAGTCTGACGAATTAGCTATTTGAGTTTTGTATACCATTTGTTTTGTAATATGTATTTGTATTCGTAGTTCTTAATTTTCTTAGTGATTTTGTATTTTATATATTTTTGTAACATTTATCTACGGCCCACTTGGAAAGCAGCTATGGTTGAAGTGGCCAGCGTAGTCAAATAAAGTTTTATCCTATCCTATCCTATCCTATCCTACACACGATCAGATAAGTGAGACAATTTATTTATAACAACGGCGACAGCGAGGAACACATTTAAATGCTAATGTGGTCGCACGACTTCCCTCACGATTTGAAGTTTGAGACTGGTTTTCTGTTGAAATTCGTCCTAATTTGCCTGTTCCGATTTTAGTTGAAAATGAGCACTTAGTAAATTTGGCAATTACTGACTGCGTTGCTTGCTTTTTTTGGAGTTAAACACAGCCATTTACACATTGTTTCTATTTTGAATATTAAAGCAGAGAAAACCCCGCAACATTTTAATGCGAGTTTGTTTGTTAATATATGGGTTGCTGTCATTGGTTCTTTTTTGACAATTGACGAGCGAATGGGGCGTGTTATGAAAAGGGGCGTTTTACAAAATACCAGGCCTTGCTTGCAGGCCCACTATTCTTCCCTTGGGCATGCACGCGGGCTAATAACCCACCTCCCCCGATTTCAATGTTGTTAGGCACTATACATTATAGTTTAATTCCAACATCATATGTTAAATTTCAACTGCCAGTGACACGGTTGCGGTTCTAGTGTCATCTTATGTTCGTTTTGGATAAGTACAGTAGGCTTTCAACATTGAAATAAGAGGGGAGGGGAGTGATTTAAAAAGTCTTTCCAAAAAGATTCCAGGAATTATGGACCATAATCGTAAGCCATAAATTAAAGCCAATATTAAAGTCAGTCTTCGGTTTGGTCTACTGATCAGATCAGTGGTATATGGTCCCTGGTTGCCAAGACAGTGCAGGGGCACCACGGAGGACAGAAGTTTACCCTTTTTGACAAAATACGTGCGTTTCTCACATGAATTGAAATCAAAGATTGTGTTTGTAAGCATATTTAGCTCAAATTTTGATCAGTTATCGTAAAATGCTCAATTAGCTATTTACTAAGGTTTATTTTGTTTTGTGCACGGACGAAAATCTCTTCACTTTACTCCATAAGCTTCCAATCGAACCACCCAAGAGTGAGCTTTTGGAAAGTCAATAATTATGTAGGCATTATCCGGTGGGTTTATAATTTATTTTTTTCTTTTCATCGTACGTACATATTTTCGTTTCATCAATATAAAGCGGATCACAAAAGTACAACGTTATGTGTTCCAATGCCAATAAACCCAGAACATTCAATATGAAACAATGTCAGACAACAATAATGTAGAAATTCTCGCAAAAGTAGAGAGTTAATTTCTACTTTTCCTAGAGACCGTCCCTCCCCCTAATAATTTTCATGATACTGAACGCATGTGCCCTTTCGTGTTTGGTTTGAGAATGGGAACATTGGTACTATAATAAATACTCTAAGAGCTTGTTATACTATATCATTACATGCAAGGTTGAAATGTATTTCTTTGATTTTTTCTGTGTTGACATGACCGCGTAGCTCAGGTGGCAGAGCATTATTGGCTATAGTATTCCAAAGGTCATAGGTTCGATTCCCACCGTGGACAGGCATATGTTTCAAACTTGCCCGGTGTGGATATACACTCGCAGAGTAACATCACAAGCATCATATTCACCTGAGTACATTACCACAACACAGAATAAATCATGATTATATTAGATTACATTGATATCGAAGGAACTACATTCTGTTCCGAAATATCACATACTCGAACCGATCTGACCGCGCAGCTCAGTTGGCAGAGCATTGGGCTAGTATCCCAAAGGTCGTAGGTTCGATTCCCACCGTGGACAGGCATATGTTTCAAGCCTGCCCGGTGTGGATATACACTCAGAGTAATATCACAAGCATCATATTCACCTGAGTAAATTACACCAACACGGAAAAAATCATGATTATTAGATTACATTGATATCGAAGGAACTAGATTCTGTTCCGAAATATCACGTACTCGAACCAACCTGACCGTGTAGCTCAGATGGCAGAGCATTGGGCTAGTATTCCAAAGGTCGTAGGTGCGATTCCCACCGTGGAAAAGCATATTTTTCAAGCTTGCCCTGTGTGTAAACTCAATGTAACATCACATGTACTTCTTTGTTTTTACGTAACACGTCACTGCCATTGGCTTAACCAAAATGATCAGTTTTGAAAGGTGAAACACTTTAGTTAGTTTTTAATTAAACTGCTTTTATGCTTACTTGATTTTCAAAGTAGAGTAACCCTTGACTTGATCGTTGCATGTTTATGTGACTGTTCTTTTACAACACGATAATCATCGGCAAGAATCTTCATTAATTTTTTCAGTTAGACACGTCTTTCACACAAAATATCTACCTCTCATGAGGCAATACACACATGGTTACTTCAAACAAAATTATTGTGCGAAATTGCTGGAAATGCACGCGTTCCTTGAGTATTTCTGTAATTGTTTTCTGATATTCTAGGTATAACGCAGTATTGGCTGGGTTTTTTATAGTATTTTAATCACTTTATTTAAACCAATCACATTTAATATGTTGAGCTTCAAACAATTGGCATATGTTTATTTCAGTTGTAGTCATCGTAACAATAATTTTTTGTAATTTAACTCCCGATCAATTTGTAAAAAGGTAGAGTGCCTCGCATGGAACTTCGAGTCCCGTTTGCACTCGTGCCGTTTGGTATGTCTTGTTTTACTGTCCAATAAAGTTTACAATATAATATAATATAATATG